ATGTTAAACCTTCAATGAGTGAAAGTTTGGGGCAGAGAGGACCACAGACATTGATAACAAGGAGGAATAAAAAGTAGTACGATCTCACGGCACATGCTACCAAAGAGCTCAGGCTTTTAAAGAGGGAGAATAGACAGTGGTTTGAAAAATAGTTGTGAGAATTATAGAGAACACTCAATGTACCTCCTAATCTTAAAGGACGTATGGGGGGAGAAAAAGAACAGCCATTTAATAGTGTTACAGAGGAAGCTGTCCTCTTACAGAAAATCAGATTTTAATTGAAACAGAAAGGAGAAGTGAATATTCACTTCTACTCTGAGACAACTACCTCCTGCATTTTTCTCTCTTCTCAAAACTCAAAAACCCCTCAGCCTTTCTCACCCTCAGCAGATGATTTCTCAGCAGATCTCACATCTCTGAGAAAAGACATAATCAGGAGAGAACGTCCTCATATTCTGAGCTAGAGTAAAGGGATGAGAACAGGCTGATGATACAAAAGGCTTTTCTGATGACAGACTTTGGTTCTGAGCACTGTGAAAGGGGCTGGGGAACATTGGGGAAAGTAATAGGATCAGATGTGTAAAGGCTTCCAGAGTTAAAGACCTACAATTCTAGGATGTTCTAGGAGCTTGTCTTTCTCATGGTGACTGGAGTTGCCTTGATGTTATCTGAGGGGAAGGGAAATGATAGGTTCTAAGGAGATCATCCCTTCAGGAATTGCATCTTAGGCCATTGTAGAGGAGAAAAGGGCAGGATTGTGTTTGTGTGCTGGGGGTGGAGGCAGAGGAGGTCTTGCCTGAAGCTCTGTGGACTCTGAGTGGGGTTCAGGTGAGTTGTGAGTAGTGGGGTGTGGGGGACGGTGAAGGAGAAGACATTCTCCCAGCAGTAATATTAGAAGTTGTCATTACAAATAAGTCATGAGTGATAGAGGTGTTAGCTAAGGCTATACCAAAAGATAAAGTGGGGCATATTAAATTTTTTAATAGTTTGAGCAAAAATCAATTCGAATTGGGCAGACCAAGCAGGAAGTAATTAAGAACAACCTGTCTTACACAGAGAAAGTGTGGAAACAGAGAAAGGAAACTATTTGATTGGCTACTGCTTAAAGCTTAGCAGCAATTTGTGATTGGCTGTCCTTAGCATTTTGATTTTTTAACTCTGAGGCATTTACAGGCTTACATTTTGGTGGAGCCACCTCAGTCTAATGGTCTCCTTGCTTAATTAATTTAATAGGTAGTAATCATATTGCAATGCTTAAATGTATTAAATTAATAGGTCATAACTCCTTAAATTTATACAATGTTCTATGTCAATTATATCTTAATTAAAATATTTTTTAAAAACACATTAAAAAATAATGTCATGAGATTTACCTGCCCTACCAGATATTAAAACTTTTTAAAATCAATAATAACTAAAATGAGTTGTTCCTGGTATGAAAAATATGCCCTTAGTCATTGGAACAGAGCAAGTAGATTAAAATTTTACAAACTCTAAAGGAGAGATAACAAAACTGTGAAAAGTGAGGATTAAGAAGCCACATTTAGACAATTTGGCTTAACCAAAAGTTAGAACTTAGAAAAAATAAACTTTGATGCAAAAATATTCCAAATAAAATAGCAGATGTAAGGAAACATTAAATATACAGATTTAAATGGAAAAACTCAGAAATCGACTGATTTTATGTCAGGTATCTGAAAGAGAAGACAAATTTTTGAGATTAGAAACAATACAGATGAGATAAAAAAGATAAATAACCATATATTTTGTTAGATAGAAGTTTTAAACTTCAGTATGTCAATAAAGTAAAAATAACTAATCATTTTGATAAAGAATTATTTTTACAAAGATATATAAACACGATATATAATTTTGCACATTTGTTTTTATCCTATTATCTTAGTTATATATTAATTCTAATTAAGATCCCAGTTTATAAATTATCAGTCAAAACAAAAAAAAATCTCTCAATATGAATTACAAATAGTAAACAAGCTATAGAACAATATCAAACCTAGCTACTATCAAAGATATGTACAGTAAAGCTATATATTTTTGCTATTAAATAAGTGATAGTTGATTCCTGGAATTTTATTCTAAAGAACTAATTCAAAACAGTAAAAAGTTTATGTATAGAAGGATATTCATCACTGCATTATTTATAATAAAAATTGTTAATCTCAGAACAAATGAATGGCCAGTTGAATAATACACAGCTATTAACTATATTATAAAGTTTATGAAGAATATATAGCAGAATGAAAGACTTTGTTATAATATGAAGTAGAAAAGCACATACCATTTTACATGACTACAAATGACCAGAAGATAATACATAAAAACAATATTTGTTAAATTGTGGTGGCAACATTATGTATGATTTTCCTCTGTTCCTAAACTTTCTAAAATAATGTTGTATAGCTTTGATAACACTATGCATCTTCCCTTTCCATATGTTTTAGAAATGTTGACCTGCATGGGTGGAAACCATTGAATTTCTTCTACGAATTTCATAGCATCCTTATATTTTGTAATATTGTAGTGACATTAAGGATAAATGGCATGTTTGCTCTACTTAAATCAGAAAATTGGGATATTGGTTATGAAAGAATTTCAAAGACACCATAGCTCCAGTTGCATCATCCTTACATCTTTCGAAAATGATTTAACCTTTAAGGAAGAACAAAACCTCTTAGAGTTAATCCAGAATCCTAAAAATTGATACCTTGAAAAGTTTACTTCCTAGTGAAGCCTTATTAGCTGCAAGAAAGAAAGATAGCACAGTCCACAGTTATATAAGTATTGTTTCCAAATGTCTTCGACTAGCTGGTACTACAAAAGATGTTTCATGTTTATTTCATGATGGACAGTCCTCAAACTATCACTCCTCAGCATTATATTATCACTTTATCAAAATTCAAAGGCTCTATGAATGAAAGTACACTGCTTCCTATGTTTGATTTTCATATTCAACATGCAGCTGTATAAACCATGGGGAATCTCACTGAAATGTTCTCCAGCAGTTTTTATGCAGATGGCAAAACATAAGCGCTATGTTACCGAGACATAAACACACACTGCGGTTTCATGACAGTGAATGATGCAGAGTGGATCTGTGGAATCATTCGGTGTGTGCTCCACATGTGGGAGGCAGGGAAAAGCTTCAATATAAAACCAACTGCGAACTACTCGCTTATAAGAAACAGTTCAATGGATATCCAGCTGTAACTTCCCGTTTTACATGTAGGCTGCATTTCTTGACTTGGACAAAGCTTATTATAAATCTCTTTGTCTCAGGCCTCCTAGATATAAAGAAGCAAAGGAGTGGGTGTAATGCAACGGGAACGTGTGTTTAGACCCCACAGGAGTTATTCCATTCTGTTGTACAAAACAAAGCCGCGAATAGCCCCACCTCCAAAGTGGAAAGCAGCCATAAAGAAGCAGTATGCATCATTGCCACTTTCTCCACAGATCTGTGTCCTCGTGAGCCCCCAGTCTGCTCAGCTCATTAGAGACTTGCAAAGCCTTTACTCACCAGAGAAGTCCTTGGAGGACATCCCACCCAGCTCTGTGTCCCCATCTTCCTCTTCTCTCGGCTGACTCAAGTCTGCTTCCTCACCTCCCTGAGTATAGACAGGGCAGTAAATGGCTCAAATCTTTAAGCTCCTGGTAAAGACAGCCAAGCCACAGGGTCCAGAGGAAACATAGTTTGTATGTGCATGTAAGGTGAAGCCCGGGTTTTGTACATGTATATCGATCAGAACACTATCATAATCTTATAGGTAAGAGCACAATTTAGAAGCTGTCTTAGAAAGAAGGTTGTTGAAAAGTTGCTTTTTCTTTCTTCCCATTGCAATGTTAAAAGCCTGGCCAAATTTTGGGGGCTTTTTTGTGTGGTTTTTTTTTTGCATTATTATGACACTAGTCTTGTGATTTAGGCTACATTCACAGTAGGCAATTAAGGCATGCCCATTCCAACTAGAATCATGATCTTGATGATGACTCAACTACTGGCAAGTCATCAGAGGACTTGCTGAGGGTTTGCTCAGATGTGGCAAAATGATTTGGTTCTTAAAGACATGGGATACTCGAGGGCTACCTCTCTTCTAACCCTCGAGATGGGATTGAGATCACTACAAAATAGACATCCACACACAGTCATAATAAAGGGCATAAAATGTGATTTAAGAACACATTGAATAAATTACACTAAAAAATTAATTTAAGAAGATTTTCCAAATAGGATTTACAAAACAAAATTCTTCATCCCCATTCGCAAACCTACTTGTCCTCCATCTCCTTCCAAGTTATGGGAGCCCAGTATTGGGTGCCCAAAATCTTAACACCTTTTGTCACTCTCCACCCCTTTCTCCACCTACCAAGTCATCACCCAACCACTCAGTTGCCCAAGGGCTCTTATGATCCCCCCACCCAACTGCCATGAGTCCTTGGTAACCCCTCACATATGCTTTTACACCATCTCACCTTTTCTTTTATCCACCTCAATCCATACTGTAGAGAGAGAGTCATCTTCCCAAAACATACTCACTAGCATATTCAGAACCCCTTTGATAACTGCACATCACACAATTTTTATATGATAGTCAAAGCCCACCGTGATGATGATAGTCAGATTCCTCAAAATCTTCCACATTTCTCTCCTTCATGTACTTTTTGCTTCAAACAAAAATGTCCTCCAGCTTTCTGTGCCTTTGCCCAAACTTGAATTAACCCATGGCCTCTTCTCTCTTGGACCCTTCAATATCATATTACATTTCCCAGAAAATTACCCTGAGCCACCAATGCTAAATACTTTGGCCAATGGCACCACTTTTTGCAGCACTCACCCTTTTATACATGTGTGCCCTCACCCTGATAAAAGAAAGATTATTGCAAACAAAAATTATGGCCCCTTCCACGGTACCCAGCCAGGTGGCTGCAACATGGTAGACACTCAAATGTTTGCTAACTGCCTGACGCTGTTTGTCTTTCTTTTTCAGTTGCACCGCCCCCCTATAGTTATGACCATGAGATGGAATGCCGTGCAGAATTGCCTCCACCCTACTCCCCGACACCACAGCCTTCAGCACAGCGTTCTCCACCCCCTCCTTATCCTGGAAATTCCAGGAAACAATCGTCCCAGAACAGAATATGTGCCAACCTGAGATCTTTCCCAGAGTAAAATGCCTACTCAGAAACAGACAGGATTGCTCTAAGAAATACTGTTTTGGGTCAAACAATATATCAAGTGGAATGTTCAGGCTGAGAAATATGGGTATTTTGCCCTTCTCCGAGCTGACCCCATCTGGAGTTATTATGTTTGGTCTGATGCGACCACATTTGAAAAGATCTGCTGAATCTACGTAAGCACATTTATAGAAGAGGAATGAGATAGACAAAACATCTGAAAAGCATGTTGCTTAAGGAAACTGCACTACTGAGCTTGGAAAAGAGAAGATTAATGTAAGACAGGAAAATAGCCTGGACTACATAAAGAAACCACTATATTCTATATTCCATGCAGCTTTAAAAGTCAGAACTAGAATTGTTCATTCCCTCGTTCATCAATAAATGCAGATCAAGCACGTAAGAACCTACTCTGTGCCTTATACTGTTTGAAGCACTGGATGGAAGTGACAGGAATTTTGGTTTCAGTTAAGAACAGAGAACTTCGATTTCAGTATAAGAAAGGGCATTCAGAGCTTTTGTGAAGCACCCTGTTACCAAGACTTCAAAGAGAACCTGGCTGACCATCTGGTAGAAACATGCCCTAGAAGGGACAGCGGAATCAAATGGCAGGAAGGTCCACGGGGCCCTCAAAAGTTCTGCTCATATTTTAGGTAGGTAGGGGGTAAATTTCTATGCCCCCAAGAATGAATACAACTGGAACAGTTGAATCTTATCTATTTGAGAGTTAAACAGGATCAAAGGAATTCAACAGCTGCTTGAAGCCAAGAGCTTTTCAATGCTAGCTTCTGCCACCCAGAAATCATCTGACTTTAATTAGACTATTATGACAAAGGTTATTCCTTATTCCAACTGGGGGAAAAACTTGTGTCAAGTTCCATAAGCAACAGATGCTTCACTCCAGATTCAAAGATTAGAAGCCAAATATTCCCACGGGGTTTTATTTCAGGAAGTAAATATCTCAGGACTTGACCATGAAGATACATAAGTTTATAAAAGAGGAAAAAATGAAGATTGGATTCTGTTCTGTGTAATTCCATTTGTAGGTAGCTCGGACAAATTTCTGTTTCTCTTTTGTGATATTTTGATAATCTATTCCCTTGAAAGAATTGTAATTAATGGAAAGTTTAAGCTATCAAATTGTAGCCTTTTGCCAAAACCCAAATGTTATGAAGTGCCTATCTTTAGGTGTAAAAGTTGTTAGTAAATAATTCTAATGTGCCATATTTTGCTGCAAGTAACCTTACATTTATATTTTTATGTTGGTCCCTTCCATGTATTTAAAATTGACATTGAGGAAATTTTAGAAATAGTTGATTAAATGTTTGTATCACTTGCAATTAAGTCTAAAATTTTTAATCTAATATCATTATCATGATTCAGTGTAATCCCAAAACAATGCTAAGAATTTTTCTGAATAAAACAATTAAAAGAAATACTTTAATGTATATAGTGCCTGTATTTGTAGCTAGGAAATTTAGGAGCTAATATAACAAGCATATTCTACTTTCAAATACATGAATCTGACAACATGGTTTCACTGCCAGTGAGATCTAAAAGCTAGATTTGTTTTGAATGACTTGCTTGATTTTCAGGCACTGATTTTTTTTTTATGAAGATGCAATGCATTCAAGAGTTCCAGACTACTGTAATGACTGAGATTTTAGCACAATTTTAACAGTACATATGCTTTCATGTATCTCTCTTCTGAAAGTGTGATCAGACCCAATTACACCATAGCTATGCAGCTCAAAGTGCCAGGGTCTCTGTGACTTGCAGAATGTTGGTTGCAAATGCACCATATATTTCTTAAGAAAAACAGAGAAGAAAAGATGAGCGGAAGTTGAATTCTCATCATCTTCACTGTCAATAAACATTTATTGCATACTTCCTATGTTCTGCAAACATTACCCACATAGCCATTTCAGTGCACATCATCTCTCTTCTTTGAGGTGTTTTATGGCCTCCCATCAGGTATATCATGGACCCATAGATCTACAATAGATGAGTATTTTTATTATTTGTATTTAGTGTTACCATAGCATAAATGTGCACATTATCAGTATAGACTTTTGGAGTTCACTGATTATTTTCATACATGACACATTTTGGGGGGAAACAGTATATCATGTGAAAGCTTTGAATTACGGTTATTTAAAAATGAATGTATTTGCTAAGGCCAAAATGTTTACAATAAGCAAATAAAATGGAACAATCCATTATAATATGGGTTATATTTTAATTGTCTTGTGTCCATTTTGTTTCATCCTCCATTCTTGCTGATTTAAATTCTTTCTTCTGTACAGGAAACACAGAACCAGATAGACTTTTTTTTTTTAATCTTGTATCCTGCCTGTATGATTTAAAATGGACCACTTCATCTCTCTAAAATTCAACTTTCTGCTCTGGAAAATGTAAATCATATAATGGGCTTCATCATGTTTTGTGAAAATTGAGTGCATATATGCAAAATTCTAAGTATAGTACCTGGCACATAGAAAAGATTCTATAAATATGGACCAAAAATAAATTAACAAAAGAATAACATAAGGATGGTCGCCTCTGGGACTGTGCTATCTGACACATTAGCCACCAGCTACATGTGGTTATTCAAATTTCAATGAATTAAAATGAAACTAAATGAAAAATTCAGTTCTTCAGTCTCACTAGCCATGTTTCAAATGCTAGATAGTGTCATATGGTTAGTGGCTACTTTATTGGACAAGGATGCTCTAGAAAAATCCTCTATGCAAAATGCAATGAGGTAGCAGGGGGAGTTGCAGAAGCCACTGTGGTCAGCGTGTCCAGGAGAAACTGTGGACTTTGTCAGTCAATGGTGACATCCATCAGGACGACGCATCAAGAGGCCGTTGCTATGGGAGTAAGGCTATGATCTGCATGACAACCATGAGCAATGAGAAGCCCTCTCAGGCTCTCCTCAGGGCCAGGGGTGGGGCAGATATTAAAGGAATTGAAGGGCTGAATGTAGTCGAGAGACCCTGGACCTGGCCCAGAAGCTGGTGAGAAAGAACCATAGCCTATTGGCAGGCTCTAATCAAGTCTGCAGCTGCCCTGCTCAGTTCTGGGAGTCATTACAAAAGCACACAGGGCCACCCACATCTTCCTAAGGTACAGCGCTGAGGTATACTCACTCCTCTATTATTTCATAATCTTGTTCGTACCACCGAATGAAAGCAGCACCTACCACTCATCCACTCTATTCCCAGCTTGTCCTTGTTTAGCCAAACCCATGTTGCCATCATTTGGCTGTATCTGAGGTAGGATCAGACACACATCACACTATATGAGCCCGTCAAACAGTGGAGCTCTGGGTGCCATTGTTTTAGAGTAAACTTATTTAAAACAACCTAACTCCAGACTCTCAGAGTCACATGGCCATCTGACTAATTACCAGCGAGGCTGCTAAGGATGGCCAGATCCTCAATCAGAACCTGGTTGAAATGTGCAAATTTAATTGTTTAATCTCAGACCCAAGCTGCAAGGGATACAGCTGAAATGTGTAAGTCCAGTGCTGTTCTGAGACAACCCCACTTTGTGGTATGGTCCCCTTCACACTGGCTCAGGACCCCCAGAAACGAAAAGTGTCAGAACTAGCTTTAGAAGATCTTACAGGTGATTCTGATGGCTACCCGAATCCCAATTCTGTCCTCGCCTCTTATGACATGTTAATGCAAAGAAAAGAACTAAGGCTTCAGAGTAAGACACACTTAGGTTTTTCTCTCATCTCTCACTTTCTAGCTATATGTTCTGAGCCAAGTAATAGAGTTCCCATAATCTCAGTTTATACAGAATATATGAACACCACCATTCTTGCCTGGTTGTTGCATGATTATAAACAGTATACACAGAATATCTGTCATAAAGATTCTATCTGGGTTGGTGACTCAAACATATATACCTATTCTCTTTCCAAACTTTGTGCCTCCATTTACAAGCCTTACCACTTCTATAAGCAGGCGTAATAGTTATCCATTGCTGTCGAACAAATTACCTGAACACTTAGTGGATTGAGACAACAGCACTGATTACCTCGGTTTCTACAGGCCTGGAATCTGCGTGGCTTAGCTGGATCCTCTGGCTCAGGGACCCTCCCAGGCTGTAGTCCTCTCAGTGTGAACTGGGGAAGGACTTGCCTCCAAGCTCCCATGCCTGTGTAGGTAATGACAGGATTCTGCTCCTTAAAGGCTTTTAGGCGGAGGGCCTCATTCACTAACTGGCTATTGGCCAGAGACCACCTTGAATTCCTTACCACATGGGCCTCTCCTCAGGGCAACACAAAATATGTCAGCTTGCTTCCCCAGAGCAAGCAAGCAAATAGAGCCATAGGGTGAGTGAGCATGCCAGCAAAACATAGTGCTAGCAAGAGGACAGTCACAGCTCTCTGAAACCTAATCTGTGAAGTGCTGTCCCATCACTTGTGCCATGTCCTATTCCTTGGAATCAGGTCACTGGGTTCAGTTTGCACAAAAGAGGAAAGGATTACACAGGGGTGCAGATACCAGGACGTGAGAGCATCAGGAGCCATCTTAGTAGATGGCCTGCCTTCACAGGGGTATTTCATCTCATTCTCCTTAAGCCCATTACTTGGAGTTAGGTAATTTCCCCTCTAACAGCAATGTACCAATTCAACAGTTGGAAGAATCTGAGAACCATATTTGGCTGTAATCAAATTGCTTTTAGTGAACTGACAGGTAGAATGGAGCCAGGGACAGTCACAGGCCCGTGCTACCAGGGTAAGTGCCGCATTCCTAAAAAATACTGATGGTGACACACAACGCTTCTGCTGCCCATGAACTTCATTTACAAGCTGCGCTAAGCACACCACATTTTGGCAGGGAAGGAAGTAGACCGCATTCCACATACCTTGTGGACAAGTCTTAACGCGGTCTCAGTTTGTTCCAAGATATTTAATCTTCATCAAGAAAAGAATTCCAAAACAAGTTTCTGGATGAGTGTTCAGTAGATCAAGTTGCTACCTAACCTAATCTTGAATACCTTCCCTAAAAATGGAAAACAAACCCAAGGAAATGTTTGGAACTGCAGAAACACGCTCTGGAAATGTTTGCCTTCTCTTCTACATTAAGGAATCATTGGTTTTTAAAACACTATTCACAGTTAGGCTCTTTGATTCCTATTTCTGCTCCACCTCCCTTCCTGTAACCCAGTCATGAGCAGCTTTTCAGTGTGTGCCATCCGCCATTTCTTAGCATGAAGAGAAGGCAGTGGCAGGGGGATCATTTTCTGAATTGCATTTGGTCGTGGGTGATAAGTGAATCAGAGAGCTCATATTGTTTCCATGGCCTTAAAAATATATAATTTAATTTTTTTCTGACTGAAATCCAAAAAGAACCAAGTGATCTGATTTTTGTTTTTCTTCCTTACTATAAGTTAGTGTCTTCATTATAGCACATCTTGTGTATTGTCCTTTCTCTGAGAACAACGTGAAAGCAGTTCAGAATAATTAAGTTTTGCCTGTGAAAATGCACTTGGAGACACACGCCCAGTGTCTCTCACCACCACCTGAACATACAAAGCAAACTCCTTCACCTCCTTGCCTGGGGACAGGCCGCTCACTTCTGTGGAACCTCTGCTCATCTCTCCAGATGTAGCTACTGGGCTTATACTCTAAGGCGACGTCTAATCAGTTTTCTAGTCAGAATTAATTGATTTCCACCTCTGTCCCCCTTTGTACCTATCTTGTACCCCTCTTTTTAAACTTAAAGTTTATTGGGGTGACAGTGGTTAGTAAAGTTACATAGGTTTCAGGTGTACAATTCTGTAATACATCATCTATATATCACATTATGTGTTCACCACACAGAGCCAGTTCTCCTTCTATCACCATAAATTTGACCATTTTGTACCACTCTCATACCCCTTGTCACAGATTTGCTAAATGTCTATCTCCCCATGAGATCATAAACTCTGAGAACAAGGATTGTCTCTTGGACATTTGCTGTCCTCAGAGGGTATATTTGAAACATGACATAAATGATTGACTATATTAAGTCAGCAAATAATATTTGACATTAAAGAATGTTAAGATAACTTTAAGGACTAGAGGAAGAGAGTTTATAGTGAGTTGGATAAGTGGGGTCCATAATCCGAGATATGGGTTAAAGAAGTAGACAAAAGGCTAATAGTTTCATAGCTCTCAGCAGATGATATGTGTCAACCCAGATACACTTGGATTGGATCATTAAGCACAGTATTAATACATGACCACTCATCTTGACGGACTCACATAGTGGGAACAAGACTACATGCCAGTTTGGGAGGGGCACTTTTATAATTCTTCAGATTAAAGCTGAACTTGTCAATTTTTACAGAAAAAGAATGTCAACCAAATATCAGAAAAGAATTACCTCATAAATCACAATTCCATAGAATGGATTCTAATGTAATTGAGACTTCAGAAGCAGTAACCGCATCATTCACTAAAAGTATTTCTACTAAAATAAGATGTCATAGTTTGCACATTACAATTTCTTCAGGGTATGTTGGAAAAAAAATATTCTCAAATGAAACCAAAAGAAGACTAAAACTGCTGGAAAGTGGTCATAAAATGGCTACAGCTTTTGTGCTATTATTTAATGTTTATAGAGAGCATTTATCCAAGTCCTGAAAAGCAGTAATACCATTGAAAATGATTGATTTTTCAGGGGAATCATCCCTAGAGATATGTTACCTTAAATCATAATAATAATAATTTTGAGGGGTTGGGTTTTTTGTGGGGTTTTTTGGGGGGTGGGGTTCAGGGTGGGATGCCAGGAACTGTTCTAAGCACTTTACATTTAATCTTCCAATCTGGCAATGTAGGTATTATCATCCCCATTTTGTAGGTCTAGAAACTGTAAATGTACCACTTCATAATTCTAGAAAAGTACCTTTCAGTGAAAATAAACCATTAATGTTATGAAGAAATATATCCATATTTAAGCTTTGCTTGGGGAAGCTACCTGTGGCAGTCTTGGGGCTGACCATGAAGCTACCTTTCCATGGCTTGAGTTCCAAGTGGATGACTATATGTGTGGAACAATCCTGATGACTCATATCTTTCACTTTGTCCTTCTGTTGCTATTCATTGTTTAGTCTCCATCAGTTCCAGTTTTTATGTACAGCAGGGATGAGACAAAGATTAAAAGGACCCTTTTATCTCTGATACAGCACCTGGTCCCAACAGATGACTTTACCCAATTATCTCCCACTTCATGACTTTTA